CAGAAAGAGCCTAAATGTGCATTTTTTTTTTAAATGCTATACAAGAAGCGGGTTTGCAAAATCTCTGCAGTGACCTTGGGCTAAGTTGTAGCCAGCATTTCTGATGAGGTTCTTAACTCGAGGTGCATGATTCTCCTTTACCACTTAAATTAAGCTTGTTTATATTTCTATCTTTTGATGCTGTTACACTTTCTCTGCAGTTTTATTAATAGCAATAACATATTGAGCAGCCCTAGTGTGACCAACACTGACCCAATCCTGCAACCACTTACCAAGGGAAGCAAGCACCCATTTAGTGTTTCAGGATGTAGCCCTTTCACAGTAAAAAGATACAGGGCTCTTATTCCCACTCTCATTGAAGCCAATGGAAACACTCCCTAGTAAGATTTTACCATGAAGTCCTTTCTTTTCAGCTGATGTAAGTCAACATAGCATCACTGAAATCCATAGAGCTCTAATCATTTGCACTAGACGATGATCTGGCCTGTATGAGTACCAGGTCCTTGTCTCCAGACTGCCATGATAGCCTATTAGGGAATAATCTGCTTTTGCCACAGGCCTTTCTCTCTCTCATCATGTAGCAAGAGGCTTGGTCACAAAACCATTGAGACAAGTCTAGTTTTTGCTGCCTTTAAAAGTTGATGTGCTCATGTACTCACTCTCAGTACCAAATTAGAAAGCAGTCTCATGGTAGTAGGGAGAGTTAGATTTACCGGCCCTCTCTTTAATGTCGAGGGAGAAGGCCATTCCAGTTTGAGAGCCTCTGAATATATCATTTTCTGGCTATTAATGGGGGCCTTCAGGGACAACTCTCAGCATTTTGATGCACAGACAAGGCCTGCTATGGTTTACAAGCCTGCAGGTTGGACTTCAGATTGAAAGAATTATGATAGGGATCGTCCCAAAGAATCACATTGGCCATCAGCTGCTCCTTGAAAAATGTTCATAGATTATCATTTTCCTAAGCAGTGCTTTGTTTTTAGGAATATCCTGAAAACAGCTAACCTGTTTCCATCATCTCTGAAGTTTATCCTCCTGCCTTTAACTCTAAGCAAATAAGATCTGCTTTCTTGCTGTTTTTCTTGTATCAGGAGAAAAAGATCTCAGTCCAAATTTGCTGCTTGTTCAAGTTGTCCTCGATCCACTGAAGTCAATGGAGCTATGGCAATTTCAACCAATTGAGCACATGTTTTATATCCACTATGTAGAGTTGGGGACAAGTGTGCAAAAAGGAACTGGTTTTGGTAGTTCACGCTGGTACCCAGCCATATCAGACCCCAGCAGATTTTAGAGCAACCTTCAAGATGCTCTTAATGCTAATGGTGGGCAGCTGGTCCTGGAACTGGCACACCAGCTGATTATAGTCAGATGATGAACATACGCCTGAAGTGCAGCCAACTAATGATGTAGCCAACCTGCGAAACAGGAGACTATTGAGTAGAAGGAGGGATATGATATAACATTGACCATGGCATTAGCAAGCTCTTGCTATGTCTAATTCTGGTGACTGTCCTTTAAGAAGGAAGCAGACAAATGGGAAAGTATTCACAAAAGAATAAATCAGAGTCTGGAAGCTGTATCTTAAATGGAGAGACTACCAAAGCTGTACTTACACTTATCGACAAGAAGGTTGAATGCTAACTTCTTCATAGTTCAGCTATTTAGAGATTGGTAGATGTTGCTATGGTCAGCATCGCAAGACGTGGCTGAGGGTGAATCTACACATGCAATTAATGTGAAGCAATAAACCGCAGCGCATATCGCCCCTGAGTTTAGTGCTCCCGGGCACCATGTTTGCATGTGAACCCAGGACTGCAAGCACATTGAGATGGGTCAGAGCAGCCCTGGTTGGCAGAAGGTCTGGGGGGGTCAGCCTGCAAGTGCAGGGCTGCTCTGACCTGGCTCAAAATGCCATGGAGGGGCTGGCTGGGGCATGAAGGGGGCTCCAGTGTGGGACTAGCTGGCAGGTAGCCCCCATGCTGAAGCACTTTCATGCCCCAGTCAGCACCGTCAGCATCTACATGTGCATTGCTGTGCAGTACATAACACCGCCGCCGGATAGTACTTGTATTTCCAAGTACGAGCCCACAACAGCATTTATTAGTTTACTGCAGCTTTATAGGGTCGCACAGGTAGATGCGGAGACTTTACTGTGAAGCTAATTTGCTCTGCAGTAACTGTCACGTGCTGATGCACCCTGAGAGACCTTTTTACAAGATTTAGGCATTTAGCTATATCCTGTTGACTTTCTAGAAGAGAAGGGTATCATAAGGTCTGTTCAGTGACTGTAGGCTGAAGCTTGACCAATTGAGACTTGAAATGAGATATGAATTTTTAACACAATAATTTGTCTAGGGGACACAGCAGTTTCCCTATCACTTAAATCTTTAAATTAAGAAGGCCTATATTTCCTAAACACGTTTTATACCTGAATCAGTAGTTACAGGCCTGATATAGGAGGTACTGAATGAAGTTCTCTGAATTGAGCTATGCAGGAGGTCCAACTAAGTAAGTAAAGTTGTCCCTGACAGCCTTAAAATCAGTGAATTTACGGACAGGACATCCTTCAGCTGTCCAAGGGGGTCAGAAGATGATCCTTAAATTCCCTTGGATTCCGTGAATTAATTGTCTCCACTGGGAGGTTGCACTGGGAGGTGATAGATAAGATGTTTGTGTTGGCTCTTTTGCTAACAGGACTTTTCTGATTTTTCTCATTTTTGGTAATCAGGTAACCCAAGGGAAAGATGGAAAGGCTCCAGGTGTCCTGCCACCTTGATGCAGTAGGGTCAAATCCAATGTACCCTGATCTTCAAGCTGTCCCTCTTTAGGCTAACTCCCAGTGGGTCACATCATAAGAAGTGCTGAATCTCTGCAATTTATGATAAATTCTTGGGGATAGGGGTGTTTCTGGGTATCAGACCCTGTCAGATTTTAGCCCAGGGACTTCCTTGCCTGAGGAAAAAAACTAATGACAAGACTAAAAATTTGGCCCATCGTATTGACAGATAACTACATTTCAGAAATATTTCCTTCGTGGGGCCAAATTCCCTTGGTGTGACTTGGAGCAGGTCTATTGAAGTTCAGGCAGATTTTGCCCACCAGAGGGTTTGGCCCTGACATATCTGCCACAGTACCACACTAAATCCCTCACATCTAATACCATCCCAGTCAATATAAATTATTTTTTTCTGGCATAGGCTGATTTGAAAGCATTACTGCCTGTCATTGCAAATGAGCACGTGCTTAGCAGTTGGCCATGGAGGTGCTTGGAAATTCTCCCATAAAAGAACTGGATTTGACTGCAACTTTCCTTTTTTTCCCCTCTTTTCTTTCCCTTCTCTAGGATGCCCAGGGATGTGGGATAATATTACATGCTGGAAGCCTGCGAGCGTGGGTGAAATCGTCTTTGTCAAGTGTCCTGCATTCTTCAGAATTATTAACTTTGAAGATGGTAAAGTGGCTTCTCCTTTTGTTCCTTTGTTCCAACGGGTGGGTAGATAACTGGTGGATAACTGCGTGAGTGTGTGTGTGTGCATGTGTGTGAAGGAAAAATGTCACAGAATATGAGAAAAGAAAAAATCACCATGGCAGCAGACAGATGTGTCCTTAAACCATTTTAATAGGGGAAGGTCACTTGTTGCTTGGGGTAAATTGTTCCAGTTTAGTTGTTACAGACATTTGCTCCTTCTGCGGTATAAATTAACTAAATTGCTGTAACGTGAACCCTGATTAAAACCACTATAGGGATGGGCAGATGTAACCGTTATATTGGAACATGGTATGGCAGTATAATTTAATGCAGATCAAATTGTTACATCTCTCCACACTCTCCGTCTAGATAGGAAAGAGAAAGCTCTCTCCTCAGATACCCATTATAGTCACTGGGAAGGGTGATGGCATATCGAAGGGTCTGCTGCTTGCTGCTAGTACAGGTTTAAAGGAATAGTTGGGAGTAGGGGTGTGCAAAGCAGGCCCTATTCAGTTCGGATTCAGATTTGACCTGAATCAGGGAGAGTGATTCAATTAATTGATTTGGATCGCTGTCCCCGATTCAATTTGGCTGAATCCGAATCTGAAGATTCGATGCTGATTTGGAGAATCAGTGATTTGGACGTAAACACAGCTTTAAAAGTTTTTTTCTACATAGCTTGAGCTAGCAGGCATGGCTCGTGATCACTGTGATGTGGGGGCACATGAAGCATCCCACAGGAGTGCAGGGGGGTGCCACGTGCTCCGCAGCAAACCCAGAAATGGACTGGAAGTACTTCGGGTCCACTTCCGGGTCTGTCAGGGAGCGCACTGGGGGGGGCCCCCCATGCTTCTCTGGCTTGGTGATTGGCTGCAGGGGGTCTCCGGGTACCCCCCGCAGACCCAGGAGGCATCAGTTGCTGAGCCGGGGGAGGGGTGCAAGGGGAGTTCCCAGCACACTCCTCGGCGGACCTGGAAGTGGACCAGAAGTGCGTCTGGTCCACTTCCAGGTCTGCTGCTGAGCATGCTGGGGAGCCCCCCGCACTTCTGTGGGATGCTCCATGTGCCCCAGTATTGCAGCATTCACGAGCTGCCTGCTACCTAGAGGTGAGTAGAAAAAACATTTAAGGCTGTGTCTGTATCCAAATTTCTGAATCTTTCCATATTTCTCCAAATCGATTCAGAAGGTTCTGATTCAATTCAGAGAGATTAAAGGGTCCTCTGATTTGATTCAGATTTCGAGATTTGGCTGCCGATTTGGGCCGAATCTCTGCTGAATTGAATCAGGGACCAAAGCTTCGCGCAGCCCTAGTTGGGAGTATGGTTTAGGGAACCTGTTCAGTGGCCAGTAAAACTGTTAGGAAGAAATCTGCTCCCTTCATTAGCTCCAGGTCAGGAGTGGCTGTCTTTATATGCTGTCAGGAACTCCTGGCTCCCTGTAATGAGTGTAATGCAGGCAAGACCATAGTCCTTCTGTCTCACACATCCATTGGTCTAGCCAAATGGCTGGCCAGGACATTGTTGTTTCTTCTCACAGTAATCAGGTAACAACTTGCTTTTTTCTCACAATGTTCAGTGATGGAAGGGTTAAATAGCAGCTTCCCCTGAGAAGGATACTAACAAAATTCGGTTTTGATCCCTGTCCCTCTGCAACGAGCATGCAAAGTTCCACATTTCCTAGCGTGCCTCATACCCCCCAAAAAGACACATGCCTTGGTTTTGAAAGGCAGAATGAAGCAAAAAAAAAAAAAGACCTTTCCTTGATGAGATCTATGGCAGCAGGTAAGTGGCAGTAAGTAACTGAGTAGGGAGCTCAGTGTCCTCAATGGGCCTTATTTTTACCTGTCACCTTATTTTCACTTCTCCCTAGTATTGCAGTAAATGCCATTACTACATTTCCTTGTTTATATGGTGTACCCCAATCTCCAGCAGCTGATTTTGGGGGAAAGGGCATGTGTTGTGTATGAGAGAATATAGCATTTTTCCATGAATATCCATAAATGATAAAGTCCAGGGATGGATTCAGGGGTGGGAGTTGAGGGGTGCAGTGGTACAATTGCACCTCCCCTTTGATTCCTGCTCCACTCAAAGTTTAAAACCAACTGCCTGGGAAGGGCAGCAACATTTCTATTAAGTCAATGTTGATAGGGTCAATTGACTCTGTGGCTCATTGTCATCTCCCTGATTCCTGCTAATCTCTCCACTCTACAGGTGTTAACGGCCCTCTTTCACTTTGAACAATCTTTATGTGCCGCTATTCAAACTTTCTTTTTTTTCTCCAATGTTGCTGTCTGTTTGCCATTCCGGGTACTGCCCCTTCCATTTCACAGCCCAACAGACTGTGTTTAGCTCTATATAAAAACCTTATTTCAGGTGTTATCATATTAACTCAGGTGTAGAAATGACTGACAGTGACGTATTAGAGGCACTACCAAGTCACTCAAGAAGGCTAGCTTTTGTTTTCTGAATCTGAAAAAGAGACATACATTTAATTTAAATATATTTAATTATAATTTAATTATAATTAAAAAAGTACATTTAATTATAATGACTACAGGACCAGTGACACCATATCTTTTGATTATTTGGCTATTTTTTCCTAGTTTGTTGTGTTCTTTAAACATAATGTATAATCTAGCAAATTAGCGCACATTTTAATAGTTATATTTCTTTTTGCTCTGATCTTAAACAGAATAATTTAGTGCTAGGCCCCTAGCATATTAGCAAAGTCTCTGGTTTCTCTTTAACTGGAGAAAAATGTGTTATGTTGTAGGCAATGATGTGCCACACTTTCTGCAGCCCCCCTGAAAAAATCCTGGATCCGCCCATGGTAAAGTCCATGTTTTTAAGGATGCACCTGCAAACATTGTACACACAGAGCTTGGCATATGTGAGCCTGCAACATTTCATGTGCTCATATACATCCTCACTGTGTGCATGCTTTGGAGATTTACCAAGACATGGAACAAGCATGATTACACTTGTGCCAATTCATTTGGATTTTAACTGACCAAAGAGAGTCAAGTCCTTGGTTTTAGTATCCCAACTAAAAATAAAGATCAGTTCTGATGGCAGCACAAAAGCCTCAAGTAATGTTGGGGTATTGGTTTATTAGTGACTCAGAGCAGTAATGAGTGAATCATCAGAGCTTAGTGATGATAGAAAAATAACATGCTGGTGTTTTAAGGAATTCACCATCAGTCCAGGCAGAAAAAAAAATATTCTCCCTCTCTCTGGGATTTTGAGCTTGAGTCTTGGACATGCATCTACATCAACCTTATGCACATCGTTCAGCTTGGCTGCCAAACTACTTCAGGTCATCTCCAAAGCAGCGAATACATTCAAAGGAAAGTTTTCTTCTCCCCGCCTCCCTCTCCCTGCTCTGCACCCAGGATTCATTAGTGCTCTCACTCTCCAAGCAGAAGGCTTTTATGTTATTTATTGTGCATCAACAGATGGCTGATTTATCATTTTCTTCTGATATAATTATAGCAGCCTGCTTTCAATAGAGGGGCTGTCTCACATTCCATTCAAAAGCCCCGGTTCGGAGTGGTTTGTAATGCGCCTTCTTTAAATATCCTTGAACTGAAGTTGGCAGTATACAGGATCTGCTTTTCTTTTTCTTTTCTGTTTGCAAATGCAGTGCTCATGGATGTTTCTGGCTTGACAGCACAGAGAACATCCTATTTACCCACAGCGCAGGCAAGCTTTCCCCACGCTAACCTCCCCCACAGACCTCTCCAGTCTCCCTAATTTCTAGTGGCATCAGACAGTTAGGGTGTGCCACTAAGCTGCGGTACCTTCTAATTTGCATGTGGAAAATGCCTTACGTCAGAAATAAATATATGGGGAACTGCAGTGACAAAGATCTGTTTGCACTGAAGACTTGAAACCCAAGGACTCCCGTGCAAATGCTTTTGCATCCTACTTTTTTGATTTTTGTTATACAGGTGGGCTTTGGAAAGTTAAGAGCTCAACCCTGAGCAGGGGGGCGAGAGGGTTGTCTTGTATAAAAACCCATCCCCCCTTGTGAACAGGGTATGGAGATCAACTAACAAAAGGGCCAAGAGTAACTCTTGAAATAGCTGGTGTTATGCCATAGATACCTGTTCACCCACCAGATTAACAGGTAATCAAATAGCTTTGAGCTCTTTAACAACTAAACTGATCCAATTTTCATTTTGCAATACTAGCCAAGAGGTGAAAGGATCTAGGTCCCTTACCAATCCCTTGAGTTGCTCATACCCATGTGAGCTCTTGGCATCAGCCAGTGTTTCATTAGGAACCCCTTGAAAATGTCACATTTTATAGCAAGGTTCCATTAATAAAGGTGTTCATGCAGAATTAGCAAATGCTTAATCAAGTGTGAGATGGTTATGGAGTCCAACATGTTACTAGATGCCTCTAACTATCTATACCTCCATCCACAGATGTTCTTATAATGGATGAAAGCATGTTAGAGCCATCAATAGTAATTTATGGTAATAATTTATTAACTCTCAACACATCATTTACAAATGAAACCTTATTACAAATATCTGGCCACATTCATGGGCTTAATGTATATTTCAATTATTTTGGCTTATATATCCGGGCAGCAGCTCTGCAGAAAAAGACCTGGGGGTTTCAGTGGACAATAAACTGAATATGAGGCAGCAGGGTGCCCTTGTTACTGAGAAGGCTAACAGCATACTGGGCTGCATTGGTAGGAGCATTGCCAGTAGGTCAAGGGAAGTGATTATTCACCTCTATTCAACACTGGTGAGGCCATATCTTGAGTCCTGTGTTTAGTTCTGGGCCCCCCACTACAGAAAGGATGTGGACAAATTGGAAAGAGTCCAGCAGAGGACAACGGAAAAGGTTCGGGGCTGGGGGACATGACTTGTGAGGACAGGCTGAGGGAACTGGGCTGATTTAGTCTGGAGGAGAGAAGACTGAGAGGGGATTGAATAGCAGCCTTCACCTCCCTGCAGGGAGGTTTGA